CTGTGCGAATCCTATAGTCCAGAGTTTTGTAGCTATTTTGGACCTTTGGAAGGCTAAATCTCTCTCTTTGGGAGTGAAAATTACATTGATGAAGTCCACTTTGTCTGTTATCTCCGTTCTCTATTGGTTATTCCTAATGAGGTGGCAAGGAAGCTTGAGCATTTGATATAGAATTTGGTTATTGGGATAAAGAAATGGAGTCAAGAAATATCATTTGGTTATTGGGATAAAGTTTGCACCAGTGTTTTAAAAATCGGCGAGTCGAACCGGACTCGCTCGGTTCAACTCAGGAACCGGCACAGCCGATGCCGGTTTCGATACAACTCGTACCGGTTCCGATACAAAATCGGGAACCGCCCGATTCTAGAGAAAAACTGCCGGTTCCAATCCGGTTCTACCTGGTTCCCTCCTTGCACGCGTACGTCACGCACGTGCACGCGTGCGACACGCCACGTGCACGCGTGTGTCACGCACGTGAGGTTACCCTAATATTTCTACACAAACATTTTAATCTATATTACATAGGTATTTATATACCAAAGTGGAATACCTATCTTTCGATTAGGGATAATTCTCAAACATCATTAAATGAAAAGGGAATTTAAATATATTCTATTAATCATCAAATTATAACTACATATGGTGAGGTGGCGTGGTAGTTAAGACCTTTGACTCTTTATGTGACCTCTCAAGGTCGAGTCCCTCCATGGGCGTTATTTTTTTGTGTTGTATAGTTTTTGTTGCATATATTGTATAAATATTTTTGTAAATAATATAAAAATCATAAAAAAATGAAAAATTAAAAAGTTATTTTTTTGTATAGCAGTTAATTTTTATTGTATATAGTGGTATAATTATTTTTTAAAATAATATGAAAGGCATAAAAAAATAAAACATAAAAAATTTATTCTATTTGAAATCTCCAGCTTTCTACTAACAATCTCTTTCACTAAATTTATTATAGAAACCTAAAAAAATAAATTTTTGAAAAATTGAAGTGTTATTTTCAAAATTATTACGCATTTTATTACTTTTTAAA